TAGATTAAATCTATTTTAATTGTGCATTTGCAATGTAATTTCTTTGTTTGGGTACACAGTAGTGCTTTCATAGTTGGTGGAATGATCCCAGTTAGCTTGAAGAATCTCATTGACTTGAGTGTTCTTTGGAATAGATTCTCAAGTTGCACCACTTTATTTTAAGTTTGATTTGATTCCCCTTTCTCTATTTTGATCTGATTAATTCAACCTTTTTCTAGGATGCTTGCTCTTTGGGGGGAAAAAAAGGATCTGATGGCATGCAATTCCCATTTGGAGATTAAAAATAACCTTTTCAGCTCCACACTGCATCGGGATGCAAAGTGAGGGATCATGAAAGTCAGAGGTCACTTGTGAGCAGTATGGAGCAAATAACTTAGGAAATAAGAGAGGGATTTGTTTAAAAATACTTCTATGTAATCTAGGCCAAAAGAATATTTTTCAGGCAATTTACTGACTACTTATGATGCACTTATTTTGTGTAACAGCAAAAAATACTCTTACTTTTTCTTTTCTGCAACATTGTTCTACAACTTGTTGTTAAGGAAACATGGACCATTATATTAACCATGAAACCATTTCTTCCCACTGTCCCCTGCTCTTCACCCAGGCACCCTCGTACCTTGCTCAGATTGTTCCCTTAGATGGACTCAAGCATCTGCTTTGGTCCCTGTCTGTGTGCAACACTTACCTCTTCAGCAAGAGTTCGCTACCTCTGCTGTCCCTGGAGGAAAAGCAGCTCCTCCCTCCCACCTCTGCCTTCTGTCTCTTTCTAGGACAGGATTGTGTGCAGTGTATCTCTCTTGCTGGCTCTCTCACACCTTTGCCAAGCAACAGTAAAGATAACATCTCATCTTTCTTTTTTTTTTTTTTCCCCTAGAACACTTGTTCAAAGTGCTTGTTTGTATAAGAATGTGCTAAGCTGATGAAGATGCATTCATTTCTTCTTCACAAGTCTTTCTGCATTTGTAGGTTAACCATTTTTGTTCAGTCACCCTTGAATCAGTATGGGTGAGCAACAAACCTTCACCAATTTGTGTGTATTACGATTTCCGGGGGGAAACGGTATATACAGCAGGAACTGTGATCCTTTTCTGTCTGCATGTGAATTCAGAGATTCCCAATAGATGACTTGCCAAGGTTAAGCAAGCTCCGTCAGTCCGTTTGGAAATAGAATACTTTCTTCCATTAAAAGCAAACTCTTAGAAACAGATCTTTCAGGCAGGTTACTAGAGAGATATGCCTCTACATTGTTGTAGCTGAACTCAGGTTATAGGTAATGCTTATTTCATAAGTAAAAACTTATCACAGTTGTAAGAACTGATGTGGAATTTGACGTATTCATAACCCGACAATGCTGCTGCCATTACTGCTGCATGATCTGGTAGCCCTGCAATAAGCTTTGCCCTGTACCTGGCCATGCCACCGGGGCTGCAGAGGCTGCCTGCAGAGTGGTCTGCGCCGCAAGTCTTTTTCCTGCAGCATGCCAGAGACAACTGTGCTCTGACTGGGGCTAGGGATTGGCAATAATAACAAATCAAGAGATGTGCGCTAGAAAAAGGTGCCTGGGGAGGACCCAGGTCAGAGAATGAAGTAACTCTGGGGTGATTTCTGCTGTATAGAAGTCAAAAAGAGGAACGATGTGTGAGAGCTTGTGGCTGCCAGGGCCTGTGGCATTGCAGTGCTGCATCTCTGTGGTCTGTCAGTGTGTGCCCCTCTCCTTCCACCTCCCTCCCCGCAGCAACAGCCCTTCGCTTATTGCTCTCAGAGGTGTATTCCTCTCTCACAAGTGAGCCATTCCTCCAGTTAGAGAACTGCTCATCTAAAGTGTAGCCTGAAGAACAGTTGCAATTTACTTGGGAGAACTGCAGCTTCCTCAGCAGCCTGGTTTTCTTGCTGCAGAACTGGAACTTCTCCTGGTGCTGCGCTGGGGACATACGAAGCATGGAGGTCTAAGCAGGAGCAAGTCTCCTATGGCTTAGGCTACAACTCACAGCTAGTGCTCTGGGTAATGTATTCCCCCAGATGAGATGTTGCACCTCTCATCTGTCACTTGACGTGGTAGGAAGACAAGCCAAAACAGTCCAATTTCATTGGACCTGTATTTGCCCTTTGGAAAGAAGATGGTTCCAGTAGGAACAAAGGAAAGGATTGCATCTTACATCAAATATTTTGGAAAACTACTTCTAATTTAGAACTGCTGGTGTTTTGGTATTCAGTGAAGTGGTTGTCTGGAGATGGGCGACTTAAGAGAAGTGAAGCAATTGTAAAACAATTTTGAATTATTATATACAAGCTTAAGGCAGACTACAGTTTATTTTCATAGGACACTGCTTGTGAAAAGTCAAAATCCTAGAGTAAGTTTGAATACAGAGTACAGTAATGATCCCTTTTGTCTTTGAAGAATTCAGTTTAAATCAGGATTTGACAAATAGACTGCATGTGTCTTTGTAACAAGATTTGACATCATTAGAGGAGTACATGCTTCAGCTGTGATGATAAAAATTATGTCATCCATAATCTTGTCACGAAAAGAGTTACTTCAATGATCAGATTGTGGAGATTTTTGTGAGAGTTCGTCAGTCTAATTACTTTGTTTTCCATATGCCCAAACTACAATTGTCTATAGAGTATTCTAAAGGTGACCATAAATCTTTGCCGTCAACTCATTTATGCGAGCTAAAAAGTTGACTGGTTGAAAGTCACGAACCTTGACTGTTGGTGCTATTTAAACTTGAAAGAGTATTTTTTTCAAAAGAGCAGAACAGTTTCTATAACAAGACAAAGAGTAATTCAACAACATAGTGCAGTTTGGAGCTTTATGGTCCACCTTCAGAATACTATGTGTTATAGTAACTTTGGGCAGATATTTTTCTGTGATTATAAGCTGAATGAAAGCTCTATGAGCTGCTTGGTTTTTATTACCATATCATAGCTTGTAAATCATGCTGTATTAGTAAGGGCTGGCGTTTCTGACAGGCAAATATTAGTCGTCTTGACATTCGTCCAAATTTGTTAAAAGTTTTTCAGCCACTACACTGGAGGAACAACTGCTAGGCATTTGTGTATGTGCATAGAAGTCCTTAATTGGCTAACAGATGTACTTCAGTATTATTCCCAGGAACTAAACATGTCTTCTACTCTGGTGGTATTCTTAGCTGGAGAAACAGATAACATGCAATATTCAGTGAGTCATTGTGCCCAGCACTGCTTTTCTTTCACAGCGGTTTTAAGGAGGATGAAGGCTTTGCTTTCCCATCTCTGTGTCTAATTTTAGTAGGCCAGAGAGCAGGAGGACTTTCAGGCCACCTTCTCAGATGATGGCATCCAAAACATTAAAGCTGCAAAATGACTTCCCAGTTTGGGGGGATTTTCTTAATGAATTCTGGTTCAGCAAAGTATGTTGCAAGTAGGTATGGCTGGGTGTTACTACTATGCTGTCAAACACTGTGTATAAAGCATCTCCTGCTTTCTGGATGAGCACACAGGGTCGCGTTTTAGCGTTAATTTGTGGCACTCCAGCAAATGGACATGAGGGAGATTTGGTTGTCTTATCACAAAGCAGAATTTGGCCCCTAGTACATTGGTGACCATCATAGAAGAACCATAATCTTTTTATCCTTTTGTGTTAATGGAATGTTAAGGGTAAATTTCTGTCTTGAAAGAAGGTAAGGTCTTGCAGCTCAAGGCATCTGCTTTTATATTCTCTCACCAAGAAGGTTACTTGTCCAGAATATAATTCTGTCTCTCTCTTTCTCTCTCTGATGTGTGTGCACACACACACAAAAATAAAAAATTAGGATTTGTAAGTAAATTTTTTGGTAATTTTGCTAATGCACATCTTGTCCAATCTTATGACCAAATATGTTTCACATCATAAGTCATGGCTGAATTTGACTTTACTGTAATTTTCTGCTATTTATAGCAGAAGAAATTCCTCATGCTCTATATAAAGCTATTTAAAATAAGTTTTGCAGTCAGCACAAATGGCAATATAAACTAATCTAAAGCTAGTGTAAGGAACTTTTGCTACACATATAATTGCAGAAAATAAATGAAAGCATTTCAAAAACACTGACTTATACTGTATATGTTTTGAAAACTTGTAGATTTGTTTGAGGCAACCTGCCAAATGAAGCATTTGTTTTCTTGCAGACTTTGTTATAACAGTGCTGCACGCCTGAAGTCATGTAGCAGTGTGTTTAGAAGCATTTTATTCCTGAGGTTTTTTCCTAATATTTTAGCTCATTGTTCTTACGTGCTTAAGCTGGACTTGAAAAAAATTTTAGTATGTGGGATTTTCACATGTGGTCATGTATTTGTAGAGAAAAAAGTCTGAAATTTTGCATCAGTGTAGACATGAAAAAGAATTACTCATTTTAGAAACTGACAATTTGGATACTTGCCAACCCAAAGTGTCTTTGAAATTTTGTCTGTTTTATCATGAAGTGGTCATGAAACTGCAGCCATGTGTTACCAAGTGATTATTGGACAAATGCTTTAAAAATACTGAAAAATGAAAAAGTGGAAAAAGATTATTAAGGTGATCTCAGTTATTTCCTGTTTGGTACCTGAAAACAAGTAATACAGTGTGTCTGATTTTAATTTTTAATTAAACTATGGTTTAAAATTGCTATAAATTCAGTGACCTGTGTAGAGATAAAAATTTGCAGTATTGATTGAATTCAGTGTTACCTATTTTCATGCCCAAAATCTCCCATACACAAATGAAAATAAGAAAATGAGGTAATATAATCTCATTTTGAAAATTAATACCGCAAAATGTTTTTTCCCAGAAATGAAACAATTTAATTGTAATGAACAAAGTTTTGTATTTATAATAACTTGATAAATCTTTTAAAATAAGCATTACTTTTGACTTGTTATTAAAAACATTTTCATATTTAGTTTTCTCCTGTTTATATTTTTCAGGATTTCTCTGTAACAAAGTTTCTCTTTTTTTTTTTTGTTTTGTTTTTTTCCACACAGATATCTGTCCATTCCAGAACTAGTATTTGCTACAACCAGAGACTGAAATGGTATGACTGGAGCTTTAAATAATTTGGCTTTGACAGCTCCATCATTTTTGGAGAACTCGGAGCAGAATTTGGGCTCTGCTTCTGCAGTATCCTAGGTGATAATGCCATCCTTGCCTAATGAGGGAGGTATGCTAGTCTTGGATTTTTAATATAGCTTATTAATTATTCAGTATGTTTGTGCCTCTAAGTTGCAACAAAGGAAATGTTTGTATTTTTAGTTCAATCGTATATTTTATTTGAGATATAAAGATGCTGATAGTTACGACATTATTTTTCAAAGATAACCTTGGAACTGCTCCTCTGACTTTGAGTTCGGAACTACCCTATCAAAGCACAATTAAAAGAAAAGTCAGAAAGAAGAAGAATGGAGTCATCACTGCAAATGTCGCTGGCACAAAATATGAAATTGGTAGGAAGCTACATATTTTGTTTTCATCGTAATAGCCATTGATGTGAGTGAATTACTAACTAATGGGGTGAATTAATGGACTTTGCATCAAGCTGACAGTAAGACATTTCCAAAGGATTTTCTTTTGTAAGAAATCTTTGTTCTTTTTTGTAACATTTAGTTGATAGCTTTGAACACTGTGCATCTATTACTCCCCATTTGTTACTCAGGAAAGGGCCTTGAAATGCAAAAGCTTAAGTAATCAAGAAAGCTGTGGAAAAACCCTCTAATTATGCATTACATATGTGTTTGGAAGTTTACTTAAAGCCTGGAAAGATAACAGTGTAAATTTAATGTTAAATACTCTAATTATTATACAGATGTTTCTCAATGAAATCGACGAATGTTTGGTATTTTGATGCTTGGCACTACTTCAGAAAAAATCTTTTCTCCTAGAACCTGAGTTATACCTGGCACATAATCAGTCTTTTATCTTTTTTTTTTATTTTAAAATAATGTAAGCATTTGCTTTTGTAACTACTGTACCCTGACTAAGGAGGCATTCTTGTCCCCTGTACGCAGTGATACTTAGTCAAGACTGTTTTAAAATTAAGATATGTGATAGCCAAGATCAAATCTAAAACCCATGTGAGTGAACTTTTAGATGACTGTGGAATGCCCTGAAGCTCTTTACTGTTCCCATAGATGGTTGTGCTCTGATTCAAACTGCAGTACAATGTGCTGTAATGTTGTAATGACAGGTTAGCAATAGACTGGTGGAAATACTGCAAGATAAATAATAGCTTGCATGCTAATATTGTTCTCAAAGTGAAGTGTTTAAAATCTTAGTTGATTTTTTAAATTTGACAATGAATCTAATTTAGAGATTAGAAATATTGCCTAAGTATGTGATTTCTCCATAGTACGTGTAGTAATACGAGAAATGGGATTTGTGAAAACACGTGATGAAGATGAAACGGCTAATCTTATATGGAGTGATTCTGCTGTGCAACAAGAAAAGATTGCCGAACTTCGGAACTATCAGGTAGAGAGACAGTTAGGATTTCTGACATGTTTCTGTAAACCGCTTCACTCTGAAACGTTCCGTAATGTGTCACTTTTGGTCAGTTACATTTGTATGGAGAGGAAAAAAAACCCACAAAACACCACCAACCAGACTGCAGTAAGGCTATAGCACTACGTATTTTAAAGTCCTCTTCTCTTTTCCAGAGTTATTTGTTCATAGCACTTGGAATCTATTGTTTAAATACTTGGGGCTGTTCTCTCATGCTTTTGTCTGCCAGTTGGGTGTTGTGAAAGATCAGAGTTTGAAAGAAGATGCAAAACATTATTTATAAGTTGCTCATAAGCTTTTAAGCACTAACTTAACAAGCAGAGTTCTCTCCACAGTTTCTGTGAATAAATAATTCCTTTCTTTACCATTACTTTGTGATGGCATTCTTTGTTCCTAGATAGCTTTGTGAATAGGAGTATGATAGTCTACTTTCATGTCTGAAATGAAATCAGTGGGCATACTTATGTTGGTGGAGGAGAATACAACTTAGCACATCTTTAGTTTTGCTAAGAATACATAGTATAATGTGAGATATTATCTTAAATAATTTATGTGTAACACTAATTATGTTTGCCTGAGCATGCAGTTGAACGTATTAAATGATTGTATTAGGTACGCCAGTAAAATTAAAAAGTACCAACTAATTTTCTTTTTTTCTTCTTCCTCAGAGAATCAACCATTTTCCAGGAATGGGAGAGATCTGCAGAAAGGATTTTCTGGCACGAAACATGACTAAGTAATCTTTCTTTTAATATTAAGAAGTTTTTCAGCCATAGTATTTAGTGCAGACAATACCAAATTACCATTTGTAAGGTTTTTTTTGTTTTTGCTACAGGGCTATGAGAGGACCAAGAATAATTTGCAAAGTTCCTTAATAACTTTGGCTTTGGTCCTGGATCTGTAGCAACAGAGTGGGCCACTGTATCTCTCCAGTTGACTTCAGTGGAAAATTATGTGGGTTCAGTTCTCTGTCTACGCGTTGCAGGATGTAGGAGAGCCTTAAATTGTTGTATAATACACTTAATACATAATACACCCAGGCATATATCCTGTAATGGTAGAACAGTAAAAATAACTAGTATGTGGATGGATGGATATTATTTATTTAAAATAATGACTATATTTTTGTGTATGTCAAACTTAAAAAATGGGAAGCGTCTTACTGTGTATATAATAAATAGTCAGAGATGCTCATTTGTCTAATTACAAATTCTCCTCACTCTACTGAAATAATTGGGTTCTGAGGAATTATCCTAGCTGAGAATCTGTGAGTAAGACCTGTAAGAATACAATACTAAGTAGTGATTCAACAGCCTGGTAATAAGGAAAAGTTTAGGGATAAATGTGTGTGAATATTTTGATTATTTTGGTTATTCTAATCTAAATAGTTTAAAGAGCAATTATGAATAGAGTTAATCTTTTGGCCCCCAATGTTACCTGCACTGCATTTACGGTCGCCAGAACAGAATTTGTAGCTACAATACACAGCATGTACAATGTATGCAACTATTATGATGCAAATTTTGCACGCATTGCTATGGTGTCTACATGTCCTATGTGTGGGCCAGAACTCCCTTGTGTTAATACATGATACACAAGCACTTTTCACTGCCCCTTCCAGACTTAAACTCTAAGTGAAAACATAGAGATAGCACATGGAGACAAACAGCTATTTGGAGAGGTCCTAGAAACAGTGGAGCAAGATTGTCAGCTTGGTAGGCAGTGGTATCCCTGTGTATTGCGACAGTTCTGTGATTTTAAAATAAATGTGCAAAATGGACAAAAGGCTCTTGTTATCATCCACACATTGTTTTCAAATACAGTTTGATTATACCTCTCTCAGCCTGCTGAATTCTGAGTTTGAAACACAGTTTAAAGGTACTCGATGCAAAGATTGCACATATTATAGATAAGATGTGAATAATTTCTCTACGATAACTCTGGGACAAACTTATCTATGTTGTGACTTTACTTAATATCAGTAGATATAGCAGGGTTTTAATCGGTCTGTTTTTTGCAGTACTAGCCTCACGATTCTATACTTAGCAGTCATAATTTATAAAAATCAAAATGATATGCCTTGAGACTGCTTGTGAAACAGACATGTATGTGAAATCACAAGTCAGTTGGGATACATGGTTGGGCAGGCTCTTGTCTGTAAAGTGGATGATTTTGTTCCACACAGCTGGTCTTCTGTCTTAAAATTTGTTTGCACAGGATAGCGCAGAAACATTAATTCTATTCTCTTGCTTTTCTGCTGCATGCAGTCTTTGCGATTCCTGATACTGACTCGTACAGAATAGCTATGGGTTTTACACCATTGAGAGTTCATGAAACGACTGCTGAGAATTGGTGAAGAGTAGACTCTTCTTTTTCTTTTACTTCTACCTTTGTTGTTATGCTGATCTCGCCCTTCCATTTTATGCAAGCTGTTGGGAATGGAGTGAAAGAAGAAATCTTTGGACTGTAAGAGGCAAATGCTCTTCAGGAGGAATTGCACTTCAGGAATTCCTCTTACAGTCAATATCCAGGCACTCGGGATCACAGAACGATGTAGTTTTCACATGCAGAAGGGTGGAAGGGAGTGGTGTAACACGTTGTGTAACAAAAGAAGGTACGAGTATCATTTGCAAGGGGAATAATCAGAACACAGGGAAAAAAAAAAAGAAAAGGAAAAAAAATGAGGTGCCATTGTAGGGCCAACTAGATCTTAATTTCTGTAGATGGTCTCTTAGATAAGATCTCCTCATGTGAAGGGTAAGCATGGTTACAGAATGAATACAATAAGTGGGGGAGAAGGTGTACAGAATGAATGGAAAGGGGAACAGAGCCATGTATGAGATGGTCTCTTTTTTGCAGCACCTTTGTTGTTTATGTTAAAAGGTTTGTGAACTGATCATGGACCAAGAATCGTTCTCATCCATATTTACCCACTAACCTCCTTTCATACTTGAAAAGTCATAGGATCTTGAAACCTAGGCGGTGGAACCTGCATTGTTAGGCGGACAAGTCATGTCTTTAGTAACCTAGGTTTTGTTCAACACCTTTGATTCTTTTGCACAGAAAGCACTCTGAGAAACAAGAGCACAGTCTGACCACATCTGTTAGCTAAAAGAGCACTCAGAAGAGCGATAATTTGCTGTTTAATTCTCAGACCTCCTGGTAAGGACTGCAAAGGCCAAAGGATAGAGCAGCACAGTCAAAAAGTGGTTACCCACAGTAGTGGATAGCAGATGTGCTGGAAAATAGGGCTATTGTAATGGAATAGGTCTTGATTCTGCAATCTACTTGATGGTGATCCTAGGCCATTTCTGAATAGTGCCAAGCAGGGAAAGAACAGAGCTGAATTCTTTTGTTGAAAGTTTTAGTGAGCACCAGAACTTGGAAACAATGGTTAAGTATTCTGCTTCATATTATTAAGTGGTTTTAGTCTACCCAGTTATGTGTAAGATAGGAAAAGGCATATAGAAATTGTGTAGTTGCAGTCACAAAGTAATATGAATATATCTAGAATACCATGAAGATGTATTCTTTGAGTAGGGAGTGTGTGTACTGAAACTTGTGAGGAAGTTAAGTGGCAGGTCTCTATCATGTAACACTTCAGGATGCATATGCTAAATACTTTGGAGAGGGATGGAAACTAACACAGAAATTGCTTTTTGCCTAAAAATAGGATAATTTCTGCCTAGATAAGCTATTCAGTTAGCAAGGTGATAACATTTGTAAATATATAGCAGATGGAAAGTAGCTTAAAAATATGCATAAATTGTGAATTATAATATCTATTTAAGTTTTTTAAAACTTTTTTTGAATATTTGGTGGCTTTCATCAAGACCGATTTTTAAAAACAATAGTTACAATGAAGCTGCAGAAGCACTGAACCTCATGCAGTACTTCAAGACTACTACAGCTATTCTGGTTTCTGCAGAGTGTTTGTTGGGTAGTTGGCTAAACAATTTGGTGACAGTGTATCTATTATACCAGTAGGGCTTGGCGACAGTCCTAGTCTTACAGATGTGGTTGGCAGCTCTGTTTGTTCCATTAGTATTTGAGCTACTTAAAGAAAAAGTGTCTTATGCTGCATCAGGAGTATTATGTAGCCTCATAGTAGAAATGAAAAATTGAAATGATACTGTGAGTCTCTCTTACATTTCAGTTATCCTGATGCTATTACTTTTCATTGCAAAAGGAGAAGTATACCTAAATCTGTAATTAATTAAGAAGTATTAGAATTCATCATAGTGCCATTTAAAAAAAAATAAAATCGAAGTTGGGGAACTTCCTATGTCAGTTAATTTCTTTTAAACAACCAGTCACTTTCTGTTGTTCTGTGGATATTTGTATTTTAGATGTGTCGACCCTATGTTATGGAGTAGTTTTGAGTTACTTAAACTAACTTCATATGAGGTTATGTATAAAGTTTCAGATATTCTGATACCTGAACCAAGCTAGCTGCACCAGTATTTAACTCAGCAAAGACTAAATTCATTCTGCTGGGAACTATGGTATACCAGTCTGCATAGTAACACCAAGTCCACATTGCTCCTATAACTTGGCTGTTAACCAGTATTAAAGCTGCTTTGTTTAAGGCTAACCCTATGTATCTAGACCATACTACCAGTCCAGTGTGAGTATATGCTTCCTACCTGCCAGATACACAGGTCTGGGTGATGGAAACTTCTACTAACTGAATTTTCTACCATTTTTCCTCTTCTATTTTTCTTTTCTGCACAGACAACAGAGCTATCAAATGAGATATGTTCATTACCTCAGCCGCCACAGCTATTAAAGCATGGAGATCATGACCTTACTGCATCCTTTAACCAGATTCAGTTTCCGAGGTTGTTCCTTACTATGTTCTAACCTTATTTTTGTTTTTGCCCTTCTATTGCAGAATGATCAAGAGTCAGCCTCAGGAGTATAGTTTTATTCCTCGAACATGGATCTTCCCTGCAGAATACACACAGTTTCAGAACTATGTAAAAGAACTGAAGAAGAAACGTAGACAGAAAACTTTCATAGTCAAACCAGCTAATGGTGCAATGGGACATGGGTAAGTTGTACAGTAACTTCAGTCTTCTTATCTATTAAAGGTGAAATGCAATGCTCTTTACAACATTAACGGGAGCTGTGTATTAGTAAGAAGATTCCATTTCAAGTTGTATGAAAGTTCATGTATTGGGCACAGGCTTAACAAGCAGAAACAGCTAAAATATAAAGCTAAATCAAAGTGGTATTTTACGGCTGTTCTGAATGTGGCATAATTAGGGAATGCATTTTCTGATGCAGCTCAAATAATTCTTAAAATCAGGATTATTTTTACTGTGAATTTATATGAAAAATATATTTATTACTCTGTTGCATGTAGACTCACAGGGTGAGAATGTATTAGGCATAAATATCAGGGTTTCATTGGCTGGGGGCTGCAGGGGTGTCATGTGGGAGAAGGTCAGGATCTTCCACAGCTCTCAGACCAGCCCAACCACCCCATTGCATGCTAAAGCTGCAGCCAGTCGGAGAAGCACAAACATATTTAAAAGTGGCAGCCATGAGGTGTAGGAGAAACAGAGGATACGCTGTTGGGGAAGTGGCTGGAGGGACACTCGTGGAAGGAAGTGACATCCATGCCGGAAGAGCCACATCCCTGGAAAGACTGTGACCTGCAGTTGAGTTGAAGGAGTTTTGCCTGTGACAGGGCTGCACAGTAAAAACCAATGAGATAAATATTGCAATTTAATTCTTAACTTTGTTCTTGTTTTTTAGAGATTTCAGTTTTAGCTTCTATTGCTTTTAATATCAATTTGAATTATACAGTATAGTAAAGCTCTTAGTTACTAAAAATATATAAGAATTACTGTAAAAGTAAAGCCCCCCAACTTTACCTTTCCTTGTTTTTCATTCCTTTTGATAAGGCCAAAGATAAGCTGAAGGAAAAGGTAGCAGCATAATTCAGAGAAATGTCTGGAAAGTACGTCAGTATGTTAGGAGTGTTCAGCACCAGAATGCTGAAATGTATCATAAATAATAAAGAGTAAGATTAAGGCAACAAAGCTATGGGAATTCAGGGTTAATAATTATACACTGAAAAATATTAGCTATTACAGTTATTTAAAAGTCTGTGTGGTTAGGGACTGCTAGTTTATAGTCTGTATATAAAGCATTTTTCATTCTGATGTGGGGAAACTGAAATACAGAAATACTGAGCTTAATCTACACCATTGTTAGTCGTACTGGTCAGTGTCCTGCTTTGCAAACATCATCACTGAGTCAGGTTAGCACTGAAAGTTCTTGACAACCTGTACCCCGGGCAGAAGTGTGACAAGGGCTGGAAGCCTATTTTTAGAGCTGCATGGGGAATAATCGTAGAAGCTGGAGACTGGTCGTTCTGCCAAGCAATTTCTAAGTGTAGAGGGAACCCATTATTACAAATTGTTGAATCAAAGGAAGCAGAAAGTTATTTTGAAATGGCTCATTGCCTTTTTTCATCCAGTGAAGCACCATAAAGGACAGGAAACCAAAAGCTGTGTAGGCAAATGGAACTTTTTCTCTACCCTACAAATCACATATGTAAGTTTCTTTCTCCAGGTAGACTTTAGCCTGACTACCTGGCTGGGTGACCATGAAAATCTGTTTCGAAGGGTGATGTCAAAGTTCCATGTTTTTAAAAGAACTTTTGTTTTTACCAGGATCTCTTTAATAAGAAATGGAGAAAAGTTACAAGCTCAGGATCACTTGATTGTTCAGGAATATCTTGACAAACCATTTCTTATGGAAGGCTACAAGTTTGATTTACGTGTGTATATTCTTGTAACCTCCTGTGATCCATTAAAAGTATTTTTGTATCATGATGGACTGGTGAGAATGGGCACAGAAAAGTATCATCCCCCCAGTGACTCAAATTTGGTAAGTTGGAGTTCATTCAAATTTATTGCTTATGCATGTAGACTTTTACCTGTGCAGTGTTTGGAGGAGGTAAAATAAAATAAGTTGTGACATGAGATTTAATTTGGTAATTGTCTGGCTGAACTTTTGCATTGTCATTGAAGAGAAAAAATTAAAATGAAAGATATTTAACTCATGCTTTTCTATCAAAATCACAAGTATAGCCATATTATTGCTTATGTATAAAAATTTTATATGACTTTGCATGTATGTGTGCTAAATAGTTTTAAATATTTCCTAAAAGAAAGCAAAAGATATCAATTGTTGACATTCAACCCAGAAAAAAATGAAGTAAAGAATATCACTTCAAGAACAGTTACTTTTATATTTATCTGAGACTAAGTTTGGGGCAGGGGGAAGGGGTACGGCTTGTCTCCTGCTAGATCCTTGTTTAACATCCCTGAAGTTTAGAGCTGCTGTTGAGGATCCTATGCAGAAAGCAGAAGCAGCAGTACGCAGACCAGCACACGAGAGCGGTCACTGCAGTCCCTGAATGTGAGGGAATCTGCTGGTGGTGCTGTTTGTTACTGACCACCTCAGCAGGTAAAGGAGTTCTGTGCTTGACGACTTTAGGATGATACAGCAGGGCTGCCTAGAAGCTTGCAGAGAACCAAGAAATGGTAAGGGACATGTTAAAGCTTTTGGACACTTTAATCTTCCTGTTCACTGAATAGCATCTTTCCCTGTTGAGAGGTGTAACCCCTCGCTTCTGGCACAGACCAAAATGCAGATGTCTGTTAACAAAGAACTAGGTTTGAAGGATTGTGAGGCATGAGCAGATTTGAGTTTCTTATACCTTGCTCTGTACTCTCTTGCTACTGTATCTGTCCTTTTCCATACCACATACTTTTAGAGCTGCTTCAGTGTTATTATGCAATAGACAACGCATGGAGAGCCTTTTTCCCTACTTGTGACTTAAAATGGTGACTGTCTCTTAGTGCTCCTTTGAAGAATGCAGGTATAATTTGGAGCCCAGTACAAATGGTATATTTGGAAGAGTTCCAGCATTTTATTTGTAATAGTTTGCTTTTAATATTTTTTATTCTTACTAATCTCAGCATTAGCAGCACTGAAATATGCTCTGAGCGGATAAACAGAACAGGCTGTTGTTTCTGTGTTCTCACAACTGTTCATGTTGCAGTTTGTCTCTTGTATGAAATAACCTGGCTTATCACTAATGACATTGTTCTTTGGATGACATTGTTCCACGGTGACATTGTTCCAGATAACTTCAGACTAAAGAGTAGTTCAGATGTTCTGAAAACACTTCCATTTTTTTGTAGTCTGAAAAATAATTGCTTTTGTCTGAAATAATTTGAATTTCATGGAATGATGACATTTATAACAACTCAACAACAATAGGTTTCAGAATTATTCTCAAAGCAGTAATTGGAAGCCATGGGAGAAATTCATTACTTGTAGTGCTAACACAATATATTGCTAACTAGCCTGCAATTGAGTTGATTGTTTTTGCTAATTTCATTAAGTTTTTTACAAGGTAAGTAAGTGCAGTGAGATAAATGACAGCAGGCAACTTGTGTTATCTATTGGCTATCTTATCAAAAAGGAATTGGAACAGGCGGCTTATGGTCAGCTTAGAACATCAACTACACTCAAGTAAGGAATCAAACATGACAGAACTCTCACTGTGATGAGGACAGTCATCATCATAGTGTAGGTGGAAAGCTGAATTAATATCTGTACTGGGAGGTAATGTAAACATATAAATCATCATTTATAAATTAGCCTTGGAAAGGTATTTTTTTTTAAATGCAGTTGATAACATGAATCTGTTCTTGGTGACATTTTGCTCCATAAAAGGAACTATAGCACTCACTCATTTATGTAATGTGTATCTTGAAATTTACCTCCCTCTGAGGTATGGATACCAGCCAGTCAAAAATGAGCAATTTTGGCAGATATCAACATGGCAGATGAGTTTATATGTAAAAGATATTTTAAAGTATCACTATCATGAGAACATTTCTCATAAATAAACTGCAGTGAAAACTGAAATGTGGGATTGTCTATGAAACAGATGCCAGAGTGTTTTTTAGCACTTTTAAAGTAGCACTTAAAAATACCAGCTTTATTGTTTGCTTCTTGTGGAATGTAATCATGGAATGTAATCGTGGAATGTAATCTGTAAGTTATGATAACTGCTCTTCACTTTTTTGGTAGTTGTTTACATACACACCTGTAAAAATGGCAGATATATAGCCTAAGCAGATGTTGAGTGGTAGATCGGTTGACCACAACTGGCTGAATTATGAGCACAGGTTTTGTTATAAGAAGGATAGAACATTCGGTAGATGAATCTCCAAGAATCAGAAACGCTAAATCTGCACATAGTGTTTTTTTTTTTTAAATGTGAACTGTTTGGCTATGTGATTATTGATTTAACATATTTTTTCTTTTGATTATTTTAAATTGACTGTTCCAGAGTTTTATTTAAGTTTTTTTTTTAATGTCTTTTCTCCCCTTTTTTAGAGTCAATTGTATATGCATCTGACTAACTACTCTGTCAATAAACATAATGAACACTTTGAACGGGATGAAACAGAAGACAAAGGAAGCAAACGTTCCATAAAATGGTTTACTGAGTTTCTAGAAACAAATAATCTTGATGTCTCAAAATTCTGGAGTGATATTTCAGTAAGATAAAACTAATATGCTTTTCTTTATTTTATGTATGTATATTCTTAGAAAATCAATTGCTTCTGCCATCCGCTTTACTGGAATCCAGAGTGATTTTTGAAACTTTATTAATCCAAATTCTCAGTGATGCATGCCACAAAGGACATACTATAACTCATGATTATGGTTTTTAAAAGGCTAAATTCAGAGTTTGATTACAAATTTAATGTTAAACAACTTCTGAGGGACAAAAGCCCTTTCAAACTGCAATTCATGTAATTAATATAATACAAAGGAACCACCCCCATTTAAATTCTTGGAGACTTTTCTAGAGTATAAAGTGAATTTTATGTGTGAATATTTAGAAAATCATAGTCAGCGTTGCATATATCTGTGGACTGGAACCTGTGCCATTGAAGTCAGTGGTTATGTTACCAGTGTCTTTAGCTGAGGAATAGACCTAACATTGTTAGAGCTTAGGCATCATCTGTACATATGATTCTGAACATATTTATTGAAAATTATGTTGCAAAATGAAATGAGTGAAGATTTGCTATACTATATTTTTTCCTCAACATACGTTTAGTATTTAAGTTATTACATATCTAAAGGTACGTACATACTATGGAAAGTATAACAATATTCTCCATATATCTGTTACTCCATAGGAACAGTTTATTTATTATAGACCATTTATTTGATATTTTAAATCTTTTTTAGTAGATAATTTAATGAAATGTAAAAGATTAAAGTATGAAATGCATTAATTCAATATATACTCGTGTCTTGTCTCCTGATGAATTTTTCTGAACAAAATCCCTACAGGAGTTAGTAGTGAAGACTCTCATAGTTGCAGAGCCCCATGTTCTTCATGCTTATCGCATGTGCAGGCCAGGGCAAGCACCGGGAAGTGACAGTGTCTGCTTTGAAGTCCTGGGATTTGATATTCTGCTGGACAGAAAACTAAAACCATGGCTCCTAGAGGTAAACCTCTTTAAACAAATGTAAATTTCTAAGAGTGAAGTTAACTAAGCCCCAGCTGGTTCCATATCTATGTAAGAAAACTTCCAAAGAGAATTTGTGCATTGCAATAGGTACTATTGTTGAGTACATAGATGGTGCTTTTTCTGCAGCGTCCATATGGAAACACTGTCTTACAGTGATTTTTGGAGACGCAGGTAAGGGTAATTGTCTTCCTGGAGGAATGTTGCATTTCAGATGTTTTTGAAAGTTTTAATGAGAAATGTGATGTTAATCCAGTTGTTATTGTAGCTGAAGGACCTCGTTAATAGCAATTGGGTGCTATGTAGATTTCCTTCATGACAATGGCTCTGTATATGGCTCTGGCAACTTTTGTGAATGTATGGTCTTAATTTTCTTTTTTTTTGGATATGTGTTCTTTTCTTCTCCTGTGGCTTTTAAAAGCACTCACAGGAAACTAATTTGGTATATGTGAAATGATGTCAAAAAATTGGCGTGAATGGACTGGAAGAAACGTTTCTCCTTTGACTTGTTACTGGTGCAGTTAAGCTTAAGTGGTGCTAGAACATGTTTTCAAACAGGAATGTTTGAGGTTTGTGTATTGTGTCTAATTACACTATTAATAATGTAGACGTGGGCTTCACTTGTCTTTGGGAGGCTGTACAGCTGGAGGAAAAAAAGCCAAATGTATTAAAAATGTCTGGCTACTGATAAGCAGAATGTACACAATTAATTTACTGAATTATAACCCTGTTCTCATGCCATTAATACTGTCAACAGTTGTTTTGTTGTGCTTATTTCTCTCAGGGGTTCAGTACAATTTTGATTGGAATAAGAGAAATTCCTTCACTGTTGCTGTGCAGACATAGGCATATTTGCTGGCTTTGATGTGCTAGCCAAAAGCAGCACATGACATGAACTTAGACTGTACTGCATTGATATCTTCTCTTTTTGTTGAGCAAAGCCTACTATCCCTTTGATTTAGCTCCACACTTCCAGATTATCATCTATAGGTTGCCTGTAGCTGACACGTAAGTGTATGTGGTTGTTTAAATACAGACTGAAGTTGGTCTTTGTGTGCATTTCATCCAGCCTTGTAGCAAACGGTGCCAGACCTCTTCTAGAATAGGTGTTGAATCAATCTGTGTAATGAATCCGTTCTGAAGGACAGCCCTCTGTCTCCATGGGTGTTTACATGCAGTATGGAGATTTTAGGGGGTTTGATGCACCATTTATGATAGAGGGTCTCAGAGAGGAGAATCATACTATCTCAGACTCCTTGTTTGTGAGGGAGGGATATCGTAAAGTAGTAAGGGCTGCTCTGGTATTTTGTGTTGCTGGAGAATACTTCAGGACTTGGAGTTGCATACCTGGTTATTATTTTTTTAAATACAGAAGTCTAATTATTTCCTCTTCTGCTTTTGGTGATACAAGGTATACTTTAACTTATTTTGCCAGACATTGAACTAAACTAACAGAAATTTCAAACTTTGAACCTTAGTAATTCGGTTTCTATACTCATTCACTAATTTTTACTGTGCTTGTTCATGTTTTTTGCAGTATTCTCAGAACAAACACATAGTATGTATGCACACTATATGTAGTGTCGTAAAGATAAAATATGCACTGTACATAATACATATACAGTGTAAGTGTATATATGTATATCTATACATATTTTTTTTTTCCTACACCAGTTCTGGCTTCTTCCCCAGCTTTCCACTCTTATCTTTTTCCACCATTCCCCTCTTGCCAAACCCCACTTAGGGGAGTGAATCACTCTTTCTAACAGTGGTAACAAGTACTAATCACAGGGCTCCGAATGTTCCCAGTGTCATGGGAAAATTGCCAAAATAGGATTAGAACGGTAAATCTAGTTTCATGTTTCCATAGCTCATGTAACTTTTCTGTTATAAAGATAGCTTAATAAACTATTATAAGAAATAAATTGTGCAACATTATAATGACTCTGCTTTCCTGAGATGACTTTTGTTTATATTGCCCTGATGTGATGTAGCTCTTTTGCTCGTTGATGCTACTGATCTTCCGGAACCTTCTACCGAAGTGAGGGCTGTGGGAAACGCGTGATTGCCATCTTGTGGCACCAAATGTTTCTGGCAAGCATCTGTGCAGTCCCAGCAGCCTGCATCCTTTCTGAGTAGCAACAACTACATACATCTCCCTCCTGTTCCCAGAAAATCCAATTTTACTCTTTTTGACCAATATTTCCAAGCTAAGTTATTTTATGTATATAGGAAAATCATACAGTTGAAGTTCTTGGATTGACTCCAGCTTTGTTCAACCTTGTTATATCCAGGTGGGATTACAAAGTTGTGATCTTTGGAGGACAAGATTGCATTTTAATAACTGCCTCAAGCGCAAGGTATCTAACTTCCTTTGTGATTTATGTGAGTGAGAGAAACCTTATATACAGATCCACAAATTTATTATTTAGTGTAACTGAACTAGCAAAATCTATTTAAAACTTTCTTATCCATCTTTGGACATCTTAGGCCAAAGTATCCAAGTATTGCTAATTCCTATTAATAAAGTAGTTAAAGCTCACATACACAAGCTTTCTTGTATCTGCTCCATTCTCCTGTGCTACACTTTCCCTGCCTGTGCCCCTGAAGGTCCGAAGGCTGACAAGGGGCAGGAGAGGTCTACTTCAAAAAAAAAAAGATGGGTAGGTGCTTACAGCAAGTTGTCAATTTCTTGTGGTTTTCACCAGGAAGAACACACTGCTGATGGTGAAGGTTTCTTCCTCTTTGCTTTTAGCTTCACTTAGGGTTGTTTTCATTCATTTGCTGCCACCGTTCACTTACTGACTGTTCATTCACGGGCCAGCAATTTTGCATTGTCTCCAATTTTTATCAGAAGTGGTTTCTTTTATGTTTCCTGGATTCTGCTCTGTGTTCTCTTTGTTATCCCTAACCCAGCATTATCTGGTTCACAAGGTTGCATTCCTGTAGTGAACACTACTTGGCCACTGTGATCAGTTTATATCTCAGAATCCCTGGATCTTCAAGGCCTTCGCTATCATCATTTGCTTGTACTTTTGGGGCCCCTCACACAACCCTGTTTTTACCAACAATCTTCAAGATGTGCCTTCCTGATAAAATTACTGATGTCATATTAACACAACCTAGTCATGTGTATGTTCTGGTTCTCGGGTCACTGAACTCTAAATAATCATCTCTCAGCAGACAGATACATATACAATGCGTTGGTAACCAGTTATTATGAATACCTATTGTGACAGTATCACTGGTACATTATCAAGTTTACTTTACAACACCACTGTCTTACAGATTAGTCAGCAACCATATTTCTTGTCTGGAAACAAGGAATAGCCACATGACAAATAAGGGACGGTATTTTCTTTTAAAGGATATTTTAAGGGAAAAGCAGTTTTCTTAATGTAGTGGTTTTGCCCAAGACTTCTCAAGATTTCTCACTCATGATCACTTTTGACAACACAAGACACTTTGTTCCATACAGGAAGTATTTAGCCCCTTGCATGAGTAAAATTATATGCCGCTACCAAACAGCTGAATATATAGGGTAATGTTATTTGCATTTCTTGTACTACTTAGGTTACAGCCATGAGGACATATTTCAAATGTATCTCATTGCATTTCATTGGCATTTGAATTGTTCCTGTGCTACCGTTTTTCATAAAGCTGCTGTATAAAGTTCTGCATCTCAGTCAGCAACATGGCTTGTGGAAAATGACCGACCTTCAGCAAAACCAAACAGATTCAGTCACACCTTATCTCTCTCAAAGTGTTGAGCATGAGTCAACATACTTACAGTGATGTTGGCTAACTGGACCTGCAGGTTGATGGCAATGATCTATTTGGCACCTGCGAGGCCACACCCGGAATGTTCTGTCCAGTTTTATCCCCCATAGTAAGGGAGAGGCATTGACAAACTGGAGTGAGTTCAGCAGAAAGGTGCTAAGGTGTTTAGAGGGCTGGAGGAGGAGGAGCTGGGTGTACTGGTTTTGCTTCACCTGGAAAGGGAGGGCTTTGTGGGATCTAACTGCAGACGTGAAGTGGGCTTTGAGAGAAGTCAGAGTCAGGCTCTCCTCAGAGATGGACAGTGAAATGGTTGGAAAAATTCAGTAATCATACATAGGGGCATGATGTGGAAAGGTTGCTTGAATGAAGAAAAAGAGAATAAGAGAAATGAAAACATGGAAAATCTTTCTGCGTGACCTTTTGGGATTTCTGTTGTTGTTTTGAAAAAGGGAAATATGTCCCTTGTTGATGCTCTGATAAATGATGTTGCTCTGACAACTATGCCAAGCAAATTGCTGCAAATTACTTGTCAAGGGGAAAAAGCTTAAACTTTTTCTTCATACAGAGAACTTAAGGTGAGATTCTCATTGGAAAAGTAACTGAACTGGCATTTAGGGCAGCCAAATTTGTTATGCCCTTATGGTTTCCACACAGATATAAGCCCATTTGGGTTTTACTCTGAGGCTGGTCATTGTTACTTTATAATTTAGAACTGAAAAAAAAAAAAAAAAAAATTCTGCCAGCTGCATATTGTGTCAGCTTTCCACAGAGCACATGAATTATATTCAAACAGTGGACGGAGAACATTTTGAATAATTTTGTCAGGTACAGACAATCCTCTGCGATATTCAGATTGCTCTTAACAGTCACAAAAGTTAAGAGGATTTAAAGCATTCTGTTTGAAGGAAGTGTTCACCACCTTACATGATCAGGCACAGCTCTCGAGCTGCCATTTTGAGAGTACGTGTATGTATTATATGAATATCTACTGGGGAGACCATGATGTTTTCTTTGCTCTCAACAGAACATAAACTCAAAGTACTCCATTTTTCTGGAACATTTCAAAATACATAAAAATGTTGTAAATCAAATTTCAGTGTATTTAAAATACATAGAGAACCTGAGAGTTGATGTTGTTTCTCACTGAAGCACGGTCCAGCAATCTCTGATATCAGGGTGAGCGGCCTGCACAGATACTCT